GTCAAAAATATAATGGGTGCTGGCCACTGGCCTAATCCTATCACCTGTGTTGGCTTTATGTTTTTGGTCACAAAAATGAGTTTGTTTCACATTTGCAATCAATAATTTTTCTAATTTAATTTTATAAAAATAATAATAATAATTTTATTAAAAAAACAAAACATATATTTATTGGGGCTTCAGCACCCCCTAGCTCCCCCCTGGCGCCGCCCCTGCTCGGCACTCTTTTGGGTGGGAAGTGAAGAATTAAGTGTATGTTTCAATGTTAGCACCCCCCGAAGAGGCTCAAGCTCTTACGTTGAGTCTGGAGTTTCAATACATTCGGAAATTTGGCCGTGTAAAATGTCCTCTTGGGTTGCCGTACAGCCAATGCGTGACGTCATTAGTAAACGACTGACCCCGAACACATATTGTACCTACACCGGCGACGAAGACAGCCAGACAGGAAAGACGTTCGAGTGTCAGGATCGGGAGGCCTGTTAACATGAGAAAGAAATTCAGATACAACTTTATGTTTCAAAAGCTATTTTCCTTACACAAGTGTTGTTCTACAGCTGTGTAAACATATACATGTTGTCTTGTAAATAAACAACTCTAGACTTCACATGATGGATGGATGTGCAGATGTTCCTCACCACCAGCTGTTCTTATAAACAACATGTGAACAAAACTAAGCAGAAACTGAACCTCCTGAGGAGAGAACGAGAGTTTCAATTAATGCAAACACTTCTGATTCTTCACTCAGCTCCAACACGAACACAGAGGTAGAACTGTTCCAAAATCTACATTAATCTGTGATTCACAATACTATAATTATTAGGAAGTATTATAAATAATCAGTGTAAAAAGGTGTGAGTCTAATACTCTTTGCCATAGTTTTTTGGGCATTTTAACATGAACACCATTATCTGGAACAAACTCCCAAAAAAGAACTGAAGTGTTATTCAGGACATCCAGAGTGATGAGTGTAAAGTGCAAAAGAGCCGGGAGAAGAACAGATCAGAGGGTATGGTGGTTTTAAAAACCCTCTCAGTCAATCACATCGCTGCTCTCAACAGCTCAGCCAATCACAGAGAAGCATGCAGCCAACAGCTCAACAAATGAGTAATCAGGAGGGAACATATTCATGTTATTGTTGTTGAATTTATATGAAAGAAACACATATTTGTGATAAGACATTTAGAAAACAGGTTAAATTTGACGAGAGGACAGTATTTTGTTAAATTACATTACATGTCACTAGTTGGACGCTTTTACCTAAAGTGACTTGCATACATTCAATACTGTGGGCAATCTGGTGTGGGTGAAGTGTCTGTCGTGTCAAGTTATCATATACTCATTTAAAACATATAGTCGTATACTCTGATTGCCTTTTAGACCTGTATGATTTTAACAGAGACATGTGTTTAGGATATACATTTCAGGAGGGCAAAAGGAAGTAAAAGGTGGATTTAAATGGTTAAAGGTGGGGTAGGTAATTTTGGAGAAACCAGCTCGAGTGCGCTAGAATTTGAAAATACACAAGTAACATGACCAATGAGGGCACGAGATAAGTTTGTGCACAGATGGAAGGCTGACAGGCAGGTAGGCCATCCAGTTAGTTTAGCCGGGCCGGCTATAATGATTGGCTGTGCTTTTTACAGTACTACGGCTTCCACAGATGAAATTTTTATGGATTTTCTGTCAAAACACTTCAGATATTCATTGCTATCGGGAAGTTAAGAGCATTCCATGGAATATAACAAAAAGTGTATCTCGAGCCGGTTTCTCAAACGGTTTCTCAAACTTACCTACCCCACCTTTAAGGACGAGGGGGTTTAATGGTTTAATGATGGGATGGAGGACCAGTTGTTTCCTCATGAATATATAGAGAGACTGTAAGCAGAACTTCTTTATCCTCTGAGGGTGAAGCTGCTCTGTTCCTGCATTTGAGATAGATTTCACTTGGATATTCTCCCCTGATTGGAAGATCAACACACTAACATGTTGGCAACAGCCTCCTTAAAACAAAGATCTGTGGTAATGGAGATTACTTTAGGCGGGAGATCATTATTCCCTGCAATGCTTTTTCTAACATGTTCTCTCGAACTGAAAACAAGTATGTTTTATTCTGAAGGGCTGACACAGTTTCTAGCTGTCAGACTGTGTGTGTGTGTGTGTGTGTGTGTGTGTGTGTGTGTGTGTGTGTGTGTGTGTGTGTGTGTGTGTGTGTGTGTGTGTGTGTGTGTGTGTGTGTGTGTGTACGTGTGTGTGTGCGTGTGTGTGTGTGTGTGTGTGTGTGTGTGTGTGTGTGTGTGTGTGTGTGTGTGGTCTAGCATTACTATACTTGTGGGGACCTAAATCTGTTTACACAGTCACGTGTGGGGACTCGCTTCACTTGTGGGGACCTAAATCTTTTTACACAGTCACGTGTGGGGACTCGCTTCCCTTATGGGGACAAAATGGAGGTCCTCATGAGGGGAATCATTAATTTTAGGGTGAAGACTTGGTTAGATTTAGGGTTAGGGTAAGGTTAAGGGTTAGGGTTAGGGTTAGGCATGTGTTGGTTATGGTTAAGGTTAGGATAAGTTTCCAGGAAATGCATGTAAGTCAATGTAATGTCCCCTGAAGTGGTGTGTGTGTGCGACGTGTGCTTACAGCTACTTCCTGTTTCCTCAGTGCCTGTGACAATAAGCCAGCGGGGCTCAAATCCCTTCCTCCAGCCCCCTCTCATCCTTCAGGACCTCCACCTGTTCAGAGGCAGCTCCACCCTCCGGGCCCCCAGATCTCCAGCAGAGGCCCTCAGGCCAATCAGAGCCAGCAGTTTGCTCTGCCCCGCCTCCCCACCAGCTGCCCCCCTGCGTCTTTCAGCACAGAACAGAGGTGGGTTGGACGTTCAACTTTAATATGATTTCAAATGTTTTTATTTGGTACATTTGAAGCTTCTATTGAGGTCTGATGTCACAAAGTCACTCAGAAACTAAAATCCTTAATTTGAACAATGTGATTTTATTGAGGTAATCCATTTTTTATTAAATCAGCATTCTTTAAAGAACTTAGTTTAAACAATGTGGTGAATTTTATAAATGTTTACACATATCTTTTTTCATTACATTTTGACTTTTCAACGCTCTTGTTTGGAAAGTTGTGAGAAAATAGAGAACAATTTTGATGAAATAAGTCAATAAGGGCCACAATTATCAAAAAAACATCTCTTTACAAACTCACACAACTAGCATCATTAATTTCTTTCCTCATATGCTCACATCTTTGAAAAACATGCACTGCAATATGCTAAAATCGTACTATTAATACCTTTGATTTGACACACTTTATTGGTATTTTGATATAGTTGTGCTATTGTTTAACATCAGATTTAAGGACTGCAGTTTGAAATGAGCTATTAGCTAAAATCTGGCATAATTCATCGTCTCTTTTCTGAGATTAATGTATTTGTATGATTGGTCCTTGTTGAAATACATACAAATTTAAAAAAAACACGCCCCTCCATTGACTTCTGAAACAGTTTGTTGAGACCCTCCTCTCCTCGTCTCCTCCTCTCTGCAGGTTTCAGAGGCAGCTGTCGGAGCCCTGCTTGTCCTTCCTCCCTCCTGAGACTCCTCTGAACTCTCCGTACCAACCCTCGAGCCGTGATGGCCGCCCTCTGTACCAGCGCCACCTCTCAGAGCCTCTGGTCCCTCAGAGAGTGTTCAAGCAGGAGCTGGTGGACCCTCGGTACCCAGAGCCGGGACCCCAGAACTCTTTCAATCACGTGACCATCAAGCAGGAGCCGCGAGACTACGCCTTCGACTCAGGTGAGTTCCTCTGCTACGTGCACTGAAACAAACCCTTTCTCAAACTCCTGATTTTATTATTGATGTAATTGAGTGATTTCATTTTAAAATGGCATATTCTTTTAGAAGTGAGACCTAAAAGACTTCCTGCTTTGTTTCTTCCAGAGGTTCAGCCCTGCCAGTCGTCGTTTGGGAAGTCTCCAGTCTTGTACCAGAATAACAATGTTGGTGAGTTGTGTGTTTGTTTGTTCTTACTTTTAAATCTGTTTGTTATTGTTCTCCTTGGAATAAATGTAACCTTTCATTATGAAAATGTATGTTTCGCCCCACAGGGTTTGGTGCTGACAGAGAGCAACACCTGTACTATGACGACACCTGTGTGGTGCCGGACAGACTGGAAGGTAACACAGACTTAAAGAAGCATATTTCTAACTGCTGCTTCTGATAATCCACGAGGGATAGACCTTGTTGTTCCATACTAAGAAATGGTGTCAGTTGTACTCATTGTGTGTCTAATGGTGCATTTCCACTACAGCGTGGTTTAAGCGTGCCGTGCCCGCCCCGTTTTTGGTTGCGTTTCCCACTCGGCGTAGTGTTTTTAGATTAAGGTGACCAGATTTTCAAAATGAAAACCGGGGACATTTTGAGTTTTGCGGTCAATATATCATTAACATATCCAATTTTCTTCACTGTTAAAGAAAAAAGGAGGACAATTCTGGTTTAATGTAATTTGAACTGTTGGATACAAACAGAAGGAAGATAGCTCATATATGAGACTTCAAAGGCCTTTTATTTTGAAACTGTACATCAGATTTTCCTGATTCTCTCTGAGTGACTAGATGGGGTGTCCTGCTATCACCCTGGAGTGAAATAAGTCTTTGATAATTTGACAGTTTTGTATTTACTCTTGTATAAAAACAGAAGGACTATAGCCCATATATGAAATTTCAAAAGTATTTTATTTTGAAATTCTTCATCAGATTGTCCTGATTTTCTCTGATTGACTAGATGGGGTCTCCTGCTATCTGAAGTGAAATAAGTATTTGATTGACTTCAAATGATTCTTTGATTATGGACGGTTTCCACTAAATAATAATCAAAATATAGATGGACAATAGATCTAATTTGAGATTTTAAACAGCATACATTTTAAATTGTGCTTCAGAAAGTAATGTTATTTTAGGAGTGTTGTGAGATGGTGTCAACATCAATTGAAATTAGTCACCCAGTGGAAATGTCAGATGTGTCTTCATAACTGTATTCTTACATTTTACATTCACTCAGTTATAATGTGGTAGTTATACGTAGTTTGTTTAAATTATTATCGATCACATTATATAGTACATATTTCTTAATTTAAGCTCCAGTATATGAATATGTTTGGTGTGTTTTTTAGGTATATTTGTTATTGACCGAGTAAACGCTTTTATTTTGAAGGCAGTTTTTACAGGCCTCTATAATGCATAGGATATTCGCGCACTGCAATACAACGTGCGGGCTGGCTTGACTGTGTTTTCCGAAGTGGGGGCTGGCTTGACCACAGTCTGTAGTGTTTACCCAGTGTTTCCTGACATGAAACATTTTATTTCACCTTGCTATGTGTTTTTAACGTATATTAAAAAACGGGGACATTTCCGGGGACAGTTTCAACCGGGGACAGGTCAATACAAACGGGGACTGTCCCCGGAAAACGGGGACGTCTGGTGCGATGACATTTGGAAACAAAATAAACACAATGAGAAAATGCTTTAGCATTCACGCTAGCGTTAGCATACACGGTGGCGTTAGCATACATGCTAGCGTTAGCCAT